TTTGTTTTTAACAATTAATTATTTTTGTGCATATATCGTTTCTTGTTTGATTCTACTCTCAGATTTTACGCGATCATGGTTAAGTTGAACATAACATTGCTACAAGCTATATTGATAAACGAAAACGAAAAGAAAAAAATAATGAACCGAAGGAAAAGACTTTGTCTCTTTCTTCCTCTTTCTCTTCCTCTTCTTTTCTCTTTCGATAGTACAATAAACTGCGCGAATGAAAATCGATCGGACGCGCGTCGATTCGCTAATTAGAATTGTGCACGCTGAAGCGGTGAATATTTCATGCCGTAACATGCCGGGACTTTTCGCATCAACGACCTCCGGTCAGTTTGCGTTAATTTACTTGCAAATTCGGCGGTGCGAAGTGCAGCAGCTTCGGCCCGCGCTTTACAACGCCCCATATACGTCGTTTCTATACGTCGATAAACAACATCCTCGCCAATGAAACATTCCAGCACGCTAATTGCACCCGCGACACCGCTGCCATGTATCATTACAATTGATGTAAGCGATATGAAACAGTCCGCGACTCTTACCATTCGAATACGAATCGTTGTGCTGGAACACTTCGTGAGATGCATGTAAGTTGCATTTTAAATTACTTTATGCTAAATGTCAGCTGCCAAATATGCTTACGAAGGAGATCCAGTGATTATCGAATTTTGAAAAATTTGAAACTCTGCACACATAACATACCTGTAGTCCTAAAAATGTAGCTATTTTCTGTTTTAAATGGGAAACAGTTTCGCGAGTGGGAGTATTTGGAAAATTCTTTAACAAAAATGATTTTTCTTATTTTTCACTGAAAGCGTAAGAGTTATTGGAAAAATGTTAAAAAAAGTACAAAATTTAATAGCAAAAATATCAACGTCATGTTTTCTTCAGGAGGATGTTTTCGTCATTACAAACATTTTGTGATTGAAGCAGAAAGTAACTAACTGTTAAAAATTTAAAGGTATTTTGTCTTTATTAAGTTTCAGACTTTTCTTTACAGTTTCAGACAGAAATGGCCACACCGCGTCCTTGTTATAGGCATAAGTAAAAGATTAACAAGGACTGAAAGAATTCCGAATTTGGAAACGTGCAATCTCAAGCAAACGCACGTACATGCAATACTTTTAACTTCTTCAGAGATGTATTTATTGAGATTAAGAAAAACTGATTTAATTTTTACACGACGTACATATGACTTCTGTCAATCATACGAAGAGATTTCTATTTTTATCGTTATGGAATTTTGTGGTAAATATTTATTCGCATTAATGTCCATTCCACTTTTGCCGATATTATTTGAATTAAATATGAAAACTTATATATATATATATATATATATATATATATATATAGTAATAGTAGTAGTAGTAGTAGTGTGATTTCATTTTGAGAGTTTTGCAAGAGATGGCACTAATGTCAATTTTGTCGAAGACATTCTAATCACAGCTATTATTTTTTAATGCTTTATGATAATCCATATTTAGTCATTTACTAACAATTTTTACTAACAATAATTTACTAATAATAGTAACAAATTGTGTTAATATTATCTTAAAAATGGAACTACCTAAAGAACATTTTTGATATATGTTATTTTTGTTTCTTAATCAGAAGAAAACAGTGGTTGAAACTTCGTATCCCTAAAAATTTATTAATTAACCTTCACATCCCGTATAAAAAATAATTATACTATGTTTTATGGTAAAAATTAATTGTTAGGATTTTAAGGTAAGAAGTTAAAAATAAAAAACAGAATATTCAATTTTTTATTAAATCATAAAAAGTTCAGTAATATATTGTGGAATAAAAGAAAAAAATTAAAGAAAAAATTATAGAACTAATGCGTTTAATTAATTATAATTTATTATTGCATAATATTGTTTTATAGAAATTTTTATAGAATTTTATAGAACTATCATTTTAATATTCTAAAATTATTATACTTGGTATCAAGTTTCGCATAGTGATACGTAATGAATATATATGTACAGATACGTAAAAAATATATAATTTCAATAACATTTTTTTTAATTTGATGATAAAAAGCCGGATTATTTCAGAATTCATCTTAATCATTATTAATTAAAATCACTTTTGCTCGTATCCCCAAGAATATTTTTTCGCATCCCCAGGAGGTGCGAGCACCCCTGGTTGGAAACCCCTGCTCTAGAAGATACACACTTTTATAATTTCGAACAAATGCGAAAATTTGTTGAAAATTGAAACAACTCCAAAGAAGAATCTTTTTATCGTCGCGGAATCCCCCTCTTTTCCCGTCTCTTCCCAGAAAGGTGGGAAAAAGTTGTATAAAACGAAGAAAAATATCTTGACTAAAGTATTTGTTCATTATTTTGTTTAAGTAAGTCAATTTTTGAAAAAAAAAATCTAAATCAGCTTTCTAATATATACAGGATGTTCAGGATCTTTTGGGAACGAAAAATTGTTAAGATTAATCAGATCAACCTGAGAAGTTAAGTATTTTTTGCAAAAATAGCAATAGTTATTATAATTACTGTTAATTTGTTGTTAATTGCTGTAAGTTATTAATGATTGAAAATGACCACATCTAGAGGCTCTTTTAATCCTTTAACTGCTGAGATATTAAATGACCAGTATGACCCTCTTTGCTGAGTTATTTTTACAATTATAAAATATTTTATAATGATAAGAGATTCTATATGCCCGCTCAATTCAAATGCTTTTTACAACCTAAATTAAATGGGTATTACACATTGAAAGTCCAAATCGAGTAAACTCGATCGTAGCAAGGCTGCTATTTTTTTCCACACTCGAGTTATTTCGACCGTAGCAGTTAAAGGGTTAATTGATAACTTGAAAATTTGCGCACTTATTTGCGAAATGGTAAAGGACTTTTCTTCTTAGTTTAATCAGATTAATTTTCACAATTTTTCGTTTTCAAAAAATCCAGGACACTCTGTATGAACATACATATTCTTCAATAATTGACTAATCGATGAGATTACTAATCCTTGCGGATCAATATGAAACATTGCCATTCATTCGGAGAGAGAAACGACGAATCCCCGAATACTTGACGACTTCAATAAGTCTCATGTCTCTTTTTGACAAATATCGTTCAAGTATCTTCCAGCGTTACCTCGCACACGCATTCCCCGAAGTATATTTTTAGCCATTTGTCTCACGGCGACGTTGCCCATACCGCTTTTAGGAGATCATGTACCGGGCATATTTCTTGTACCTTCGTAAGTAACGCGCAATCCCTAATTTTTCACGGTCGATATGATACAATGTTGTATATTGCCGTTGTTAGCCACGCTCTCCGCGTCTCGTCGGACGAATTCGACCGTTACAACCGCAAAATTGGCCTCTGAGCAGCGGAGCCGAAGGGACGTGGAGGTGAAGTGAAATCACTTAACAGCGAGGCTCCACAAGCACCTGTTCCGGCCTGTCGGGAACAAGCTCTTTTACTTATGCACACCTCCGCGCAAGTCGCGCACTCGCACCTGCCGCGATTTCCCTTGATCACCGGATTCTGCGCGTGTTTTTGCGCAGTCCTGCCGTGTAACCAAAAGAGAAAAACACGCCGTTTCATCAGTCCTTGATACCCTTCTTAATGTCGCGAAGGTTAAAGCGCCCGTTCCCCATCGCGAAGAACAGGAAGGAGAAGAAGAGCGGAAAGTATGTGATTTATGGGCTTGCATATATTCGAAGCACAGTGGTTTGTAATAAGGAATTCGAGTCCTATGTGAAGACGAGACAATCCGTCGGATCTGTCAATGAGCGGGAAAGATTCGCCATTTCTTGCTAGACTTTTTAGTATCTTCCATATTTTTCGAGATTTTTGTCCGACTCATTTAAAATGAGACACCCTGTATAACATCTTAAGATGAGATTTGGGGACGACCTTAAATATAAGATCTATACCACCTTTGAAGTTAAGTTTTTCACCACCAGATGTAGCGAGTCGGTATTTTTAACAATCAAACCGGAAGATAATTTAAATCCATATTGTTTTCCAGCTCCTTTGCAATCTTAGTGTTTACAGCCGTAAGTTATATCCGAAACTTCGACGCATTATATTCGAATAATGAAATTCTGAAGCGCGAGTATTCGCGAACATTTGAGTATTTGGAATTTTGAAGGTTCGAAAATATATGCAATTCAACAAGCGCAGCATTAGCTCTATCGAAAGCTTCAACGTCGAATTATTATTCGTTGGTTTTTCGCCTATTTGTAAGCTAAAAACTTAATAAACCCTGTTTGCAGTTAAATTATTAAATCAAAATTCAATAAATTTTTGTTAATTTGATGATTTTGAAATTTCCAAAAGTCGGTAAGCTAACAAAAGTTAAAAAAGAGTAAAAAAGTCTAATACTATTTTTTCTTTCGACAAATGATTAGCGAGATATCGTAAGTTAAACGTTAAAAAAGTTACCAAGTTTTTTTAAATATCTCAAAAGCTTAAATATCTAAAAAAATATTAGGCAAATAAAAAACATTTCAGACAGAAGTTGTTCAAATTAATGGATAGAAAAAGATAATATAACAGAAAATTGGGATTTCCATTAAAAAAAAGTAACGATCAGCGAATCTCGAAAGTAGCGCCATCTGTAAACAAAATGATATAATTGTTTTGTCCCCTTTGAAACCATACAACTTTTGTCTAAAACTTTTTTAATATCTTTCATATTTTCCGAGATTTTTGCCTGGCTCATTTAAAGTGAAACATCCTATATAACTAATGAAGTAATCTTAATGGTAAGATTGAAGATAACTTCAAGACAATCTTAGATAATAAGAATAGTAGAACTGGGACTCGAGGAGAAATTGATGTTTGTTTCGGATGACACACAAGAGGAAATAACGAAAACGTTTTTTTTTTTATATAGATCCTTTTTCTTTAATAAACAAGTGAGACACGATTTACTTATGTTAGTTAGTTAGTTAATTTTTAGACTCTCTTATATAGTTATAGTTTATAGAATTATACACAATATATAATAATATTGTCGTTACACACGTATGTAATTTTATGTCGCTGGGTACCGATTGAGAGGCAGGCATGATTCACTGGGTATTCTCTCTCTTCTTTTCGCTCTTTCTCTGCGCTCTCTCTCTCTCTCTCTCTCTCTCTCTCTCTCTCTCTCTCTCTCTCCCCTCTTCTCTCTTCATCTTGTCCTTTATTTTACAAGATTCGCACGTAGGTCGCTCGTCCATTCACGCATACACATACATACATACATACATACATACATATATAAATCATCAATTTTTATCCATGATTTGTGATTTTTATAATTCTTGCTATCGCATATACATATATATGATCTAATTACATATATCATAGATAAAAAGTACACGCTAAGTTATGTTTACTGAGATCATACTAATACATCACAGGGTTACATAGACGTAAGATTTTTCTCTTTTTGCTAATTTTTTTTTTCTTTTGTTAGTTTCCCCGCGGCAGGCACTAAACATTGCGACTTCTTTTTCAGATCTTGAGAGATTCACCAAGATTCACCAAGGTTATCTTTTTTTTTGCGATTTCGTTTCCGGCAAAGTGGTGCACAGGAGACATCGAAACATTCTCTCTACCGGTTTGTTTTAGTTCAATTTAGACCCATCCATTCGTCCAAGATAATTTTGATTTCTGCAAGCAATTAGCGATGAAGAAGTATGACTATCTCATGCAATTTAAATGTGTCTTACGGTATCGAATTGCCAGGTTAAATCGGTTCGCTTTCTTCCGATGGATGAAATGTTGCACTGACTAAATCTTAAAGGCGCCAAAAATATGCCAAGCGCGCTTCGCGCCAATCGCGAAGTCAAATCGTTCCTTTAAAATCTGCCGAACCGATCGCGCATCGCGAGTTTCGTGAATGTCCGGATTTTTTATCTTCGTTTCGCGCGAAGGAAAATTACGATTGATGCGTCCGTAACTTCAGGCTTAGTCGATCATTTGCATCTTACAACGCTTCTCTCACTACGTCCGTCTGTCGTGCTCGATGTGTAGCACATATAAACAAACCTTAAAAAGAAAATAGCCTGTGACCACCAATCGTATTTTTAAGTTACAATCTCAAAAACAGAAAATGGCGGGCGGGAGGATGTTGGGGCAGATTGATGGAAGATAAGGTAGGACTTACGAGAATATACCGCTTCTCAACGGGATGTTGGCAAATGGGGCATCGCGAAATATTGTGTGTGTAAACAGCTATCTATTATAAAGCTCAATTAAGAATATACAATTACGGTAGTACGCTAATATTACGCTCTGTGTAACAATTCGTTGGCAACGAACGAAGTAAACGTTGGCTCTCGCGATTCGCACTGGGGATGTGTCTCTCTACGTCGTTGAATGCTTAATTCGTCCGATCTCAACAAAACCTGTTGATGACAATCTTCCTCTCCGCATTAGTCACGGAAATAAAAAACTTGCAAATGCATTAACCTTTCGTTAGGCGTTTGATTTTTAAATTTTGCGATTTTCCGCGTGTCTCCCATTCGGAAAAGAAAAAACGGAGAATTACACATCATCGTAGAAAAAAAAAAAAACTCGTTCCTTGAGGTAGTATACATATTGTTGTGACTAACAAAAGGTTAACGTCATTTGCGGGATGACTTGGCATTTTCGTTGGAAATTAGCATCGATATATTTGCAAATACTTTCATTATCTCTACAATGTAGTCTCTACCGATATTTTGGAGAGGATGAAGTTTCTCCGTTAATTTGACGTTCAATCTATGATAAATTTATTATATATTTTCTATAAATTTAATAATAAATTCTGACTATAAATTTTCACGCAAATCGTTATACATTTAGCTACATCGCACTTAGAGTTTACGGAGAAAAAATATAAGAAACACAGACAGAAGTAAACTTTTGATGGAATATCGCGTGGTGAAAAGCAGTAATCCGATTGAAACGACAGCTATGTGAGGACACCGAATATTTTCGTAAGACGTTGGATCTCTTAGCTGGTAACGTAAGTAGATCGTAAAAAGAAGAAAGCCAAACTTTTGTCCGCACGAAAGTTGCAAATTTACGTGCCTCTCGCGCTGCCACTTGTCAGAAATAAACGCGACGTAGGATGAAGAAGAGGGGAAAGAAGAAAGGAGTCGGATTTCCTTGTTCTTTTTTCACGGGTGAAAAGAAAAAATCGCGGGGTGATTTGGCATCGGCTGTACTTTCTTAAAATCGTACAGGAGATCAATGCTTAAACTCGGGTAACAAACTATAGCTAAATCCCATTTCTCTCTCTCTCTCTCTCTCTCTCTTCTCTTTCTTGAGACTGGTCGTTTCCTGGCCGCGGAATCGCGAATCCCTTGCGCAATATTCTCGCCTAACTACATCCGATCGTTCCAATCATCCGCGAATTTCGGATATTAAAGCGTTACAACATTTCGCGAGAACGCGACTTTGATAAAATTTCGAGCGAGCTTCGTGGGGGAATTTACTAATTTGCCATATCGCGCGTGTTTCAAGGATTGAACGTCGAAACTAGCGCGATACGTACTGCGAAAATCTATTCCCGACGGGGCACCAGCTTCCGCGGATACTCCAGCAAGGAAGATGACTCGTCGCTGAGTAGCCGCGGGGAAAGCTGAACGCAACACGCTCGCGAATCCCAAAGATTTCCGGACCAGTCCAAGCGATTCGTTCAGTTGGATCCAATCGATACGCGCGATATACTCTGCCTTAGAACCTAATTAATTAATTCCTACGAATATAGCCTATGAACTTGCGTGTATTTCGTAGCTCCTTGTGCTCTCTCTCTCTCTCTCTCTCTCTCTCTCTCTCTCTCTCTCTCACTCTCTCTTTCTCTCCCATCACTCACTCGCTGACTCGCTCGCCATTTCATTCTCACTTTCTCGCTCGCTCGCTCACTCACTCACTCACTCACTCACTCACTCACTCACACTCTCGTAAAGTATTGTGTAACGACATCGTTTAAACTTTTTTTTTATATGAATGTTTCGAAAACAAAGAATATATTACATTAATTAATTTGGGCAAATTATTATTCTATCTACAATCTAATTTTTTTCTCAGAAATTTACTTACTCTGTCTAATCTAAGGAAAGAAAGAAAAAAATAATATGTTATAAAAAAATAGCGACAGCCACTGTCGTACTTTTTCCCCTCTTTCTCCACTGAGCGTCCCTGCTTCCTCTCGCATCCTTATCTCGACTTTTACTGTTTCTCCTCGTCCCGCGGCTCCTGCTCTATTGCCCTCGCGATCCTCGCGATATTACAAAGCGACATTACAGACACGAAGATGTGACGATGACGCTACTACCGTTTTCTTCCACTTCGGTCTTTCTCTCCCTTTTCTCGTCCGATCCACTTGCTTCGCTGTTGGTTTCTCGCCCGCGCTCGCGGCGAATAAATCTATGTGAATGGCACAGCCAACGAGGATCTAACGCCTCCTGCTGGAGCGTCCCTGCGCCCTCCTTTGTTCCCGTTCCTACCAGCGGCGCGGTGTCCCGTTTCCGGTACTATCTCTCGTCGCGCGAACGCGTGCGTAGATGAGCTGGAAGAAGACGTCGAGGCTGGAGGAGGAAGGAGGAAGCTCAAGGTTTTTAGCTGCGTATCTGGCCCGCGTTGCGGGCAATCTTCTCCGGCGGCTCTATCATGCTCTTCGTGGTCCCATTCAGGCCGCGCTTACGACTCTTCATAAAATCTGTAACAGACAACGGGCAAAATGCGACTTTACATAAACCCGTGCGAAACACTCGTCCAAGAGACGATCTATATGAGATAATCGTATATAAGTCCACATATAGGAAGATAATCAGGAGTCGCTTTAAGAGCAACGTTGAAGTTCGAGGTCCTAAGAGGTTCTTCACAGGTCAAGTGCTACGTTGTTATTTTTAGAGCCTGGTTTATATTGGCTGTGAAGAGCGCGACAATTTCAAAGACATTTTCTCTTTTCATATTCGCGAGTTGACTGAGGTCTGCAATAGACCAGAAAATTTGTTACTAGAAGAAAAAAATTACTCCCTTTATCACATTTCCGGGTCAATTAACCCTTTGCTGCATAGTCCTTTCAGAGTGCCACCTACCATCCAAGCTTGTTTTTTCAATAATTTAAATTTTTCACATATTTCTTTAGCATATTTGGTATTGTTGGACTACTAAAACGTTCCTCTAACTAATACATCAACTTTTAGAGTCATTTCAGATAAGTAATTTGTTATTAATAAGCATATACTGAGTAAAACTGTCGTTTTTAAAGAATAAATTCGTTTATATGAAATTTTAAGTAATAAAGTATATTTCAAAATCACTATTTGGGAGTTTTTGGGGTCGCTGAATACAAATCCGGTGTGAAAAATACAAAATTCAAAATGATGGGCCCAATATGATGGACGGAATTTTCAAAACTAGTCGAATTTGTTTGAAACTTGTTACTCGGGGCTTTTTGAAGTCGCTGAATACGAATATAGTGTGAAAAATTCGAGATGGTAGATCTCATATGGCAAACATAATTATAGAAATAAAACAAGCTAGCTGCGCTTGAGAAAGAGACAAGCTAACTGGTATCAACCGAATCTTGTCGTATATATCCATCATAACTCTGGCATTTCAAATTTTCGATAACGAATTTGTAATTAGCAACCTCGAAAACCCTTAAATGACAAATTTCAAGCGAATTCGGCTTATTTTGAAAATGTCGTCCGCCATTTTGAATTTCGTACTTTTCATACCGCATTTGTATTCGGTGACCCTAAAAACCGCCGAGTAACAAGTTTCACAAAATTATACATCAGAAAAAAACACGCAACAAAGGATTAATTTTTCTTCTCCTTTCTTCCTTCATTATAAACTGAGATTTATTCCGCGAATAAATAAGCACACAAAAAATTTTTCAAATAGCTCGCTTAATAGCTGGTGGTTGGCTCTCTCGGCATTCTCTTTGCTCCTCAAATTTCATCGCGACCTCCCCTCGCATGTACACTGGAAAGCAAAACGGCTTCAACAGTCTTTTTTTTTTTACAAACGTTAGTAACTAGTCTAGTTGTAAAATTCGAGAATCATTGTTCAAGAACTGCAAAAGATCGCAAGTCTCTCTAACCCCAACGATTTTGAGACTGCTCCATGTATTAAGCAGTGATTCTCAAATTCACGGATTATGAATGTCACCAGAAAAAAAAAAAAAAAAAAAAAAAAAACTATCAAAACCGTTTTGCTTTTCAGGGTACGCTCGGCGGTCGCGCGAATGTGGGAATTTTACAATTGAAATAATCTCGGGGCGGGGGAAATCCCGCGCCGACGCGGAATCGCTCCTTCGCGACTCGACCGATATCGCTCTCGTTACATGTGTGAGCACCCCGTAATTTTCGTTTGCTCGTCGAAATCTGCCGCCGCGGATCGGCGACGAGCGTGGCATCTGGCATCTGAAATCAAACACGACCACATCTCCGCGGCTTATCGCCGATTCTGATTTCTCACAACCGCGTGCAGTGTCGCACTTGACCTCTTGTAATCCGGCTTTCGCCAGACGGCAGCATGCATGCAAAATCTCCGCTGTGATAACCTTGGAGATGTAATATCGGGGCGCGCGCACCGCGCTCGTTAATTATAACGTGGCCAGATAAGCCCGCGAGGTCGCGATTTTATATTGTTTTTATTGCCGCTTCGAGAGAGAACTCGCCTGGAAGAGAGCTGCAGTTTCTGCCAGGCGAACGCCGATATTTTCGTTACAACACGGCGTCTCTCTCTCTGGCGTGAACGAAAACGACCGACGCGCCGATCATGACTCATAAAAATCGACAGGCCGGAGCTCTGAGTCACAAAGGCAGCCCCTTGAACCCCTTCGAGGGAGGGGCGGATTGCTAGCATTTGGCGACGTTTCCACGCCGAAATTAAGCGCATCTGTCCGATTCTCCGCAAACGTGCGCCGACGGAGCCACGCGACGAAAGTGAGGCGGAAGGATCGATCTCCTTGCTTCAGCGAGCGCGGAAAAATAAATATCGACGGGGGTGCGTCGTCACCCCTCCCTCCCTCCCTCCCGCGCGAGATTCACGAACCGAGCCGGCGGATTTCGCCGATACTTCCGCGCGACGTACCATCCCCAGCGCGCCTCGTGTAATTTAAATAGCCGCGTGCAGGAGGTATGCGGGCGCGCTGATCCTGATTTAAAATGCCGACCCCTTCGCAACGACCCGTCGTCCGTCCGGCGGGCCGCCCCTGGGGCCACGGAGACAAGGGGGCGCGATTGCGTGCACAGCTGATGCCCCACGCGTGCAAGCGCTCCACGCACGTCACAAAAGGGAAGCGCGGAACGGGCACGGGGGAGCCGTCGGGGAGGGTGGGGGGTCACCGGAGAGGAGCCGAGCATGGGGGTGCACTCGATGGGACCGACAACCCCATATGGATCGCAACAGCTGACCGCCGCTGGCTCATTAATAAAGTACGTTAGGAATATCGTCGTCCGGCGGCGCCCCCATGACTCTGCGTGTGCGTGCGTGCGTGTGTGCGTGTGTGTGTGTGTGTGTGTGTGCGTGTGCACGGCGAAGTACGTTACTCCGCATCGCTGCTCCCCTATACGCGAGGAAATTAAACGACGCAGATAGGAAGCCAATACAGGGCCGCCCCTGCGAGCGCGTGTGCGTACGTGTGGGTGTGCCTGCTGTGTGAACACGTGTGTACACGGTGTCCCGGAAGTCGCGAGCTTCCTCCCGAGCGAGTGTGTGATAGCGGAGGAGTAGCAGTCGCAAGAAACGGCGATTGCCCCGAGCGTGCAGATAGTCACGCGCGCGATTAATTAGCCCTTTACGCGACAATGAAGTATGCTTAGCGCTCTTGTCCTCTTTCATTTTTTACGATGTACTGCTTACGGTTCGATGGAAGTGCGATCTCACGTCTTTCTGATGCATTGATACTTGCTTTGCAGGTTTCCCTACGGTTTTCATATATCCGATTGATGTTCATTTTTAATTATTTGTAAGCAAGTCGAAAAGAAACGATTTAAAAAATTCTAATTTCTTGGAAAGTACTTAAGATTAGAAGACTGTACTGAATATTGTTCTCACGTGTTAAAATATAACATACATTTTTTCCAGAATTTGTTTGCACGTTACATTTCTTTTTGCAAACAAATTACTCGAATGAATTTTGTAAGTCTGACATGAAATTTGTAATTAACGATCTGGAAAATCTTTATGTCGTGTATCTGACTTGTATTTATTCAAACTTACATTAATATACTTCTATATGGCAGCCATATTAGATTTATAAACAAGTTTAAAAAAAGCAATTTAAAAAATATAATTCCTTGGAAAATATTCAAGATTGGAAAATGAAAATTGTGCTAAATATTGTTCTCATGTGTCAAAATATGATATACATTTTTTCCAGAATTTTTTGCACGATACATTTCTTTTTTATAAACAAATTACTTGAATGAATTTTGTAAGTTTGATATGAAATTCGTAACTAACGATCTAGGAAACTTTTATATCGTGCATTTGATTTACATTAATTCAGACTAATTTACCCCTATATGGCAGCCATATTGGATCTGTCATTCCGAATTTTTGAAATTTGACTTCAGATTTGTGATCAGCGACTCAAGAAACAGCAATGTAAGATTTCGCGGAAATCCGTCAGGTAAAAAAAAAAATGAGCCACACAAAGGATCAATAAACGTAATAAACATGAAAATCGCACGTTTCCTTCCGAACGCATGATAACGGAGCAGAGGAAACGACAGTTGGAACTTGCGTTATTTTCCTCGTTACCTCGGAAAAGTTGCGTTGCGGGATATCGCCTCGGTATTTACATCTCGGCGAGAAGTGTCTCGAAAGATTGTGTGCATGTAAAGTAAGAGTATTGTAAAAGCTTTAGCACAGAACAGTCGAAATGACAGTTTAAAAAAATATGCAATGTACGAAGAGAGTGTTGACCTATTTATTTCAGTTCCACTCAACGTCGATCAAGAATATAAGGCTTGAGTTATGTCAACAAGGAAAATTACTTCGAATTATTAATTAATTATTTTCCAGAGACCTCGACCGTTTGATCTTTACCTTTATCATTGCTAATTATTCGTACAGTCAGATAATTAATAAACAATCTCCAAGTCAGATATGTAAAACCGGGCGATAAAGAAATTCAAGGCGGACGAGCCAGCGTGACGAGCTGGCGGCCTGCGACGTTAATCCCTCCGAGCAGCTTTTTCGGCCTTCCGCGACGCGACAGGAGAAGAGATCGCGCGAACGCATCGGCTGCGTTCTGCAGGACACGCGACGCGTGCGACGCGCCACGTCCAGAAATAGTCGCGTCGCGTGGGTGGTGTGTGCACGGTCAAATAACAAATAGAGGAGAGGCAAGGGGAGAACTCTAAATCCCTCTCTCGCGAGAGCTTTACGGTCGCTTGAACGAGACGACGACGACGACGACTGGTGAGTACGCGTGCGTGCGTGTTCCAACGCGACGAATCCTCCGCGCGGTCGTAAAGCGAAGGTGAGTCGTCTTCGACAGCGACGGCGCGGCTTTGAACTGCAGTTTCTCGCGCTCGCGATAAATAATCCCACTCGCCGCCCCCGAGAGCGCTTATCCGCTCTCATTTCTTTTTCTCGCTCGTCTCTTTGTAAGGCGCAGCCGAGATCGATGCTTATCTCTTAATCGTATTACTCCCCCCTCCCTCGCCGCGTCTCTCGTCCCTCGATTAACTCAATCTACTCTCATCTTCGCGCGACCGATTAATATTTATCGAGCGCGTTTCCCCAAACAGAAAGCGACGATCAGCGCGCGAATTCGGCGTTGCAAATCGCCGCGCGTGCGCGGAAGTGACGACGTCTCTACGGTGTCGCGCAGGTAAAAATCGCTTTCGCCCGACGATCGACGTTTCACCACCCCGATCGCATCGACGGCAGACGACTTCCTGACAAATGTTTCTCGTTCTCTCGAGCGAGACGAACGACCCTCGGGATTTTCGACGTCGAGACGCCGAGAACGTGAAGGATGAAAGGAGGCGAGAGAGAAGTCCGCCGAGGCCGAGCTGCCTGCGCCAAGAGAGCGTGGGGATGAGATCTCGCGTAAATAAATGACGCACGGCGCGTTAAACAATGACGTATTCCGCTAGCGGGACCACAATGCAACGCTATTTATTTTCGCGTCATCGTTTTGCGATGCAGATCGGCGCGGCGGACGACTTCGCTTATCGCGACGCGCGCGGGAGCGAGGAGAAAAGAAGAAAAAATATCTACAGCCAGCGCGCCCCCCCTTCCCTCTCTCGTGGCACGCGATAATGCAGTTCCGATAATCCACCTCTCGTCAACAAAATTAATTTCTCATCGCCGCCGCAGAAATGAGACTTTATCTGCCGCGCCGATAAGAACTTTCTCACTTTCGCGGATGCTATTATCCTCTTAAATTCTCGGCTTTGCTCCTCTCGCCCCGGAGCGATCGAGAAATTCCCGCTACCCGCTGAAATTTGATCGTCGCATTCGCTGCGTGTTTCTGCCTGCATCGTTAGCGCTGTATCTATACGCGAGAAAAAGAAAGCGACAAAGGAAAGCACACGGGTGTGTGGGACCAAGGCGCGAAAGAAACCGTTCCTCATCCTTATCTCCGGGTGCTTGCGTAATTTTACGCACGAATTGCGGCGATCCTCCCCCCTGCGGACCAATTGGACTGACCTAGGATACGTGTTTCCCGCATAAATCAACGAGCAAATTAACCGCGATAAATTGCACGATAAACGGCTGCGCCGAATGTCGGCCGGCCGTCTGTCTCTCTTTCTCGATGTAGCATCGTTTTTTCGCATTTCGATATAGAGAGAAACGAAATTCGAGGATATTTATTCGTTTGGTACTGATATGTTAACCTAATTTGGAATTTCTCTATTTAAATACATAGTAAACAATTGCTTTCACAAAGAGCGATGTTTAGCAGAAAATTTTTATATTTTCTCATCTAAAAAACAAAAGTTTCTCCAGATAAAGATTTCTAAATATAAAAATAAAAGCATCTAAAGTACTTTCCATTTGAATCTAAGTTCCTTTACTTAAAGGAACAATTGTTCTCATGACAAGTTTTAAACGCAATTTAATTTTGAAGACAATTTATATTTCCTCATCTGGAAAAAAAGGAGAAATGTTCCCTCAGATAAAGATTTCTAAGTATAAAAATAGAAGCATCTGTTTCTTTATTTCTAACTTGCATTTAAATTCTTTTATTTAAATATAAAAAAAGAATTGTTCTCATGAAAAATTTTAACGATTTAAGGACAATTTATATTTCCTTCAGAAAAAAAATATTTCTTCTGATAAAGATTAAGTATAAAAATAAAAGTATCTAAAGTATCTTCAATTTTTCACTTAAATCTAAATTCCTTTACTTAAACATAAAGGTTCAAACTTGTTATGAGAACAAACAATTGTTCTTATGACAATTTTATCCACAATTTAATTTTAAAGACAATTTATATTTCCTCATCTAGAAAAAAAAAAAATGTTTCCTCAAATAAAGATTTCTAGGTACAAGAACAAAAGCATCTAAAGTAACTTTATCTTTCACTTAAACTTAAATTCCTTCGTTGAAATATTCAGGAATAATTTGTTCTCACAACAAGTTTTAACGGTTTAGACAATTTACGTTTCCTCATCTGGAAAAAAGTTTCCTCACAGATAGAGATTTCTAAGTAGAGAAACAAAAGTATCTAAGGTGACTTTATCTTTCACTTAAATTTAAATTCCTTCCTTCAAATATCCAAGAATAATCTTTCTCATAACAAGATTTAACGATTTAAAGACAATTTATATTTCCTCATTTGGAAAAAAAAAAAGTTTTTTCGGTAAAAGATATCCAAAACTAAATCAAGGTACCTTAAGTACCTTTAAAAAAGATAAAAATACTAGTGATCATTTAAATATAAAGATACTGTTTAAAATTTATCTTGTAAAAATATATATATATATAAGATAATACATATATATAGAAAAGGGAAGATACGTCAGTATCCACCGAGTAGATATTTCTCACTTTTGCACTTTTTCCCTCAGCGCAACACATGCATGCGACAAAAAAAGAATTGCAACTAGCTATCAATCTCTTTGACAGAAATATCGACTTCTCATATAATCGTCTTTCCTTACAACATTCTACTCTAACGACGTCGCCGAGGAAGATTGTTCAACGTTGCACCTCATCATTGGCAAACAACAGTCTCGCAAGACACTAATCACGAATGAATGAAGGAGAAGAAGACGAGGATGCGCTGATCAATCGTACACGGCTGATCACGAGGTAAACACTCGACTAATGCGATTCCTTGAGAGAGCGCGATGAGTGAAGTCCAATGTGGAAGCGATGCAAATCATTTCCCGCGCGATCACAACGAGCGCGCCTCTCCTCGTGCATATGCAATGCAGGTGTAAACAAACTTTTTATCATGCCTGAACCTTGCCGCTCGCGCGAGCCGACCGATACGTGGATGATGACTTACGAGCAGATTAGAGGCGCGAAGTGTGCGGGGGAGAGGGGGGACGCCAACGCGAGGCGCCGAGTCGCGCGATACGCGTCACTTCATCGCGGCCGAATCATCATCGTCGTCGCTCGCCGATAACGTCACAGCCGACGACGCGGTATTATAATTCCGCGCGTAGCGCGTGCGCGCGATCAAACAACTCTGAAAAACAAACATCGCTCTCTCGACTGCACGCATTTATATAATCAACGAAAAGCCGTCGGCTGGCTCGCGCCGCTCTCTTTCTTTCTCTCTCAGCCCAGCGAGCCGTAAATAGAGTTTTAATCTAATGGAAACGGAAACGAGACTCGAGCGACGTTGAGGGCTCCTCCTTTTCGTCAATGTCAACGTCGTTAGATGGAGATTTCACCCTTGCGCCGGGTAACAACAGTAGCACGATATCGCCAGAAGACCGCACATTTAATACGTTCGATAAGACGTTCGAGAGGGACGGAAACAACGACTTGCTGCAGTCGTGATTCTCGGCCATCGCTCAACGGCCATCTGATACCATGAGCGTTGACAGTCGTTACTCTTTATCTCGTGCATCTCTCACTCCGAAATCTGAATTTAGAGCTCGGCTCGACTCGCTCAGTCGAGGGACTATGATGCGATGGATTTCATCAATTCGATTCACAAGGAAAACATTCACGTCGAACGCTAAGTTGATTCTCTCGAGCCAATGAAGGGCCAAAGAAGTAAGACCCAAATGGAATTATACTCTTCTACCTTTAGATCTTAGACCCAAATGGAATTATACTCTTCTACCTTTAGATCTCAAGGTCTCACTCGAGAAAAGCCTCGAGTGAGGCAGCTATTAATAACCATTAATTAATTATTAATACGGGCCTGCAAACACTTATGGAATCTTTGGGTTATTTGGGTCAATTTCGCGCTTTTTAGAATCTGACAACCGGGTATGATATATAATAACTGAGCGGTTATCCTGAGACTGAAAGCACTCATCGAGTGCTTGGATCTGTGACTGTTTTGCGCCCTTAGATCTTGATTAGATCTGAAAGTAACTCCGACTGAACCCTCACAGAGCGGTCGCGGCGCTGAATGCGCTCATTCAGTGCGTCCGATATAGGCTTGCCAGATGCGAAATGACTGTTTCCGGGACATTTTTAGGCGACGATTGAAGAATAGGTTGTTGGAGAATTTTAGTTAAATTTGAAAAATGGAGGGGTAAGACAGAGCTAAAAGATGCCGCACTCGCAACAAACAAATGCGTGAATTAGATACCAGCAGAGAGAAGTTCGGACATAAACCATGCGACTGTATTTTTTACCACGATAATGATTTAGTTGACATCAATCTTTTCTCAGATGGCATGTCGAAAAATTCGACCCTATGAATCGCAGTGGTTAACCGCTTTCAAGTTTCTCTCTGGTACCAGTTAGAAACATGAATATTACGATTATGATTTTGTTGAAATTTTGATTTTCCGGGACAGAAAAGACTTCAATTCCTGGACACGGGACAAGCTTAAGGATTCCGGGACATTACCGGAAATCCGCTCACTGATCCGCTTTTCGATCCGACAGTCTTGCATCTTCGAGTCTCAACGTAAAAGTAACCCCTGTCAGATCCAAGAACCTTTACTAAGCAGATTACTGTTGAAACGAGTGAATTTATCGCTACTACATAACCAATCCTGTCGAGTTTTCCGATCTGGTCGGTTTGCACCGTCGGATCTATCCGTTTCAGCCACGTTTCGATATTCACTGCCAGTACTGAAAACACATAGTTTGTGTCACATTATAGATTCTCATTGCTGGCAATAAATATCGGAATGCAGAGCCTGGGTTGCACTTGTCGCCGTCGAGGTGACCCAAGTATACACATTCGCATCGGAGAGAAGAAAGGCAAAGCTCAGTGCAGCAGCGCTATTATTCACTTCAGTCGTAAAAGGCTACAAGAACAGTCTCGATCAGACCCCGTTCGCACACCCCAATTAAAAGCAGCTTCTTCGACGGGCGTCGCGCCGGGCCGGGCCGGGCCGGGCCGAACACGCACGCGAGCGAGCGGAGAGAAAGGAGGAAAAAAAGGCGACCCGATCGAAGTAAACAACACTCGCTGTCTCACTCTTACCTGTGATAGCGGACTGCTTCCTGGCAGCCGGGGGTAATACAGGGGTGGTCGGCTCGATCGGGCACCTCTTCCTCTTGGCGTTCGCGTCCACGAGCTCGGCAGGCGTCGTGGCGTCGCCGATCTCCGGCACCCTGGCTTCCTGCGGCGGCGTCCTCTCGGCGGCGCCGATCGCCATAAGCGTCGCCGCCGACGCGGCGCTCGTCGTCTCCGTCTGCTCGACGATCCTCGTGGTGATCGTGGTGGTGCTGGTCGCCGTCGTCGTCAGCGATGCCGCCGTGCTGGCGGCGGTCGTCGTCGTCGTCGTCGTCATCGCCGTCGGCGTCGCGGCGTCGTCGGCGACGATGCGCGACTTACGCGGCGTGCCGGGGGCGTGCTTTCTCAGGTAGGGCATGCCGCGCAGGGCGTAGGGCTCGGGCACGACGTCCTGCGCCGTCAGCAGCTCCCATTCGTAGCGCGAGTTCGGCCGCGGGATCTCCAAGTGGAAGTCGAAGCCCCATCGCTCAGCGTCCAGCAGCGATTGGGCCCGCAGCTCGCGCTCGGCGAGCGCCCTGGCCGCTACGTGGTCCACCGGGCCGAAGAGATCGCGGCGGACGCGGGCGAGCGCGGCCTTGCTCGGCACTGGTCGCCCGCCGCCGCTGCCTCCGCCACCGCCGCCGCCGCCGCCGCCGCCTCCGCCTAGGTTCCTGCTCATTTCCGTCATCATCGCAGGGTTCAGCACTCGTGCGCTCATATTTCGTCGCGCTCTATCGCCGCCACGGCGCTCCACAACGGCAAAGAACGCTTTCGCTCTTATTTCTCTTTCTCCCTTGCCCCCTCTCTCTCTCTCTCTCTCTTTCTCGTTTCTTCTGGACTTTTCTCGACCTTTTCGTCTACGTCGTTCCTCGCCGCTGCGCGAGGCTACGGGGCACGGAGGAGCGCGAAAGCTGCACGCCCGCCCTTGGCAAGGGATGAGGTTAGGTTACGTCGAGATGATAAAAGACACGGACTGCCTCTCTTCCTGTTGTTTTCCGCCTCTCTCGTCCTTCGTTTCACTCTCTCTCTCTCTCTCTCTCTCTCTCTCTCTTTGTTTCTCTTTCAACGCGCTATCGAGAAGCCGTGATTCGCGCTGTGCGATAAGAAGTCACTTCTTCCAGCATCGGCCACTGATGCGGGGATGACGATGACTCCTTCTAGGAATCCCCGTTGCTGGGTCCGTCGTCGGGTCGTTGAAATAATCGCGGCTACGCACCGCGGACGACGGACGGCGTGGCAACGTCGCGGGCCGTGGCGCGACCCACCGAATTTCGAATAATGGCCGCGCCGCTGGTGCTGCTGCTGCCGCTGCCGCCGCCGCAGCCGATGACGATGATGATGCTGATGCTGGTCGGCGAGAGAGAGAGAGAGAGAGAGAGCACGCGCGGCTCCGCTCGCCGCCTCCGACGGTCCACCGACGGTGACGTTTCTTTGCGGTGGAAGTGAGCGACGACGCTGCCCCGATTCCCGGGCGGGAGGAGCGCGGCGGTCACAGGACGACGAGGTCTACGCTGGTCTAACAGCAGTTACACGCTTGGCAACACAGTGCGGCCGCGGTTACTATGGGCCGAGATAGCGGCCGCGGAAACAGCCTCAAGCTCGCGCGCGATCCCGCTGCATCGCGGCGAACAGTCTGTCAAGGTCGACGCGAGGACGCTCCTCTCGCGAAAACGCGAGAAATACACGCACGCGCGCCGGTCACACGTACACACGTATACACTCGCTTTCTCTCTCTCTCTCTCTCGCGCGCGCGCGCGTGCTTGCTCGCTCGCTCGCTCACTCACTCGCCCGTTCCTTCTCTCTCCGATACCGTCGACTGCTGGTTCGCTCGCTCGCTCTCCTTCTCTCTCTCTTTCTCCTCGCAACACGATTCCTTCGGCGTAGCCTGCGGAGAACGTTGCCGACTCGGCAACGTCGCACGGCCGCGGCACTTGCGCGTGAATATCCAAGCGACGGCCGAGAGAGCGTGTTACGTGTCCCGCGCGAATTTTGTGGTCCAACGTCCAGATTGTCCGTGACGCCAGACGATCCCTCTCTCTCTCTCTTTCTCTCTTTCTCATTCACTCACTCACTCGCCCGCTCACTCTTTCCGGCCTGTCTTTCTGTCCGTTCGGAGTACCGTCTCTCTTTCTCTGCGATCACTCGTCTCACATTCTTCACACGACCAGGCACTAGGCTGCCGAGAGAGCGCACACTCGAGACGCGCGAAAGAACGCGAAACTTCTTACGCAGGCGAGAAAATCCCGTCCGGAAAAACGCTATTGCGCTATTGCACACGGCCCGAAGCAGCACGCCGCGCTCTGCGGTGGGGGGAGTGGCCGCGAGAGCGCGTCAATAAACACGAAAATACGCGTTTCCCGCCAAACACGCGACTGTCAAGGCACGCGCGTGGCCCAGCGGGCTTGGGAAGGAACGTGCGGGCACGATTGCGCAGTTACGTGACGCCGTACACGATGATACGTGCGCGATAGTGCGGCTCGCGGAGTTGCGCGGAGAGACGTAACTGTCGTGAAAAGCGCTCTCTGGCGACTGAAGCACGTTTCTCGCGCTGCGGCCAAACGCATCCACCCTCGCGCTCGGCCGTCTCCGCCTGCTGTTCGGCCCTCCTCGGTTCTCCTCCTCGTCCGCCTGACCCCGCTGACGCGCCGGCCAATCACGCGACGGGAGAAGAGGGACGGAATAACCGCCATTCGCGATGTATAGTTCCCTCGACGTGACTGCGAATACGGTTCGTGCGGCTTGCACGACCGCACGCCAGCGGCTCGTCAAGCCTGCCGAGAGAGAGAGAGAGAGAGAGAGATAGAGAGAGAGAGAGAAGGAGAGAGAAAGAAAGAGAGAGAAAGAGGGAGAGGAAAGAGAAAGAGAGAGAGAGAGAGAGAGAACGGAGAGAGCTTGTACAGTTAATCGGTCCTTACTACCACGGGAGCACGGTCAAACGGAATGCCGAACGCAAGCTGAACTCGGTCTCCGTTCTCTCACGCGCTCTCTCTTTCTCTCTCTCTCTCTCTCTCTCTCTCTCTCTCTCTCTCTTCCTCTCTCTCTCTCTCTCTCTTTCTTTCCCCCCTCTCTCTTTTCTTCAAATTCCGAATTCGAAACTCGTGAAATTGCTAGACTGATTCTCTTCGCCAGAGTTATCAGTCGATAAATATGAGCACTAACTCACGATGACTATTCCCGAAATATGAAATATGATGGCCGAGGGTGTCTTTCTTTGAGCCTTTCAAGAGTGATTATGGAATTTTTGTGACTGCGGACGCGATTGAGTGGGGAGTTATCGAGTTTCTCGCTGTGTGATTGGATCTCATCACCTGTGTTTCCGGCAATTTACAATCGAGTTTTTCCAGCAAGATTTGTAGCATCTTGCAACGACGCAATTCGTCGTTCGACGATGATCGGGAAATTCATACTTTTTATATTAATGGAATATAGAAGTTAGTATGTTTGATGGTGATTAGAAAAATGTATAGATTATAAAGAAAAGAAAACGAATTTTTCTTATTAACTTTAATAACAAACTGTTTCTTATTTTTGATACCAGCAACTCTGTCGGCCGATTGACATCGTTTAAAAATTTAAAGGACGGAAATTTCGAAAGCAAAGAATTTCACATATTTCTGTAATATTTTTCCTTTGCTTCAAGTTTTGTCCCATGCGAGATATTCAGATACTTGAGTCGAATGTGAATTTTTCAGTCACAAACTGCAATTGTAGATAGAATGTCATACGACTTAACTGAAAATGTCAGATCGAACTCTAAAGTCCGATTTGAATAACTCACCAAGCTTCAAAAACCGGCTAACCGGCCTAACATCATCGAATTCATGCGAAGCTTTCGATTTTTCACGTTTTCGCTGCCCGGGAAAAGTCACACGATCACTGTCCTTCAATTAATCTTCGTCTCGTTTGTCATCGTAGGAGCGACGTCTCTCGTCGATCTCTCGGATGCGTCAGTATCTTATGATAGAACCGCCGTCTTAGTATTTTTTGTTTTTTCACGACGAACATTATTCACCTCTCGACGCGATCAACGTCAAACGAAACCGCGGCTTTAAGTCATCGCTTTAATTGCCCTTCACATGCTCGTATTTGTGAATGGCAATGCCGTGAACAAACGATAGATAGATAGACAGATAGACAGATAGATAAAGAGAGAGAGACAGAGTGAGAGAGAGAGAGGAGGGGAAGAGAGAGAGAGAGAGAGAGAGAGAGGAGGGGAAGAGAGAGACAGAGAGAGAGAAAGAAGAGAGAGAGAGAGAGAGAGAGAGAGAGAGAGAGAGAGAGAGAGAGAGAGAGAGAGAGAAACAGGCGCATCCTCCAGCTTGAGTACGAGACGTGAGAAATAAATAAATCCAGTCTCCAAAACAACATGCGCGTAATCTTATCGTGCGAGTATATTCGGTGGATTTCCATGTTTGTACGAGGCGAGGCGTTACGCACGGTGAACTTATTTGCATAGCGCTCGGATTATCGCCGGCATTTTATACGGCGCGATAGACACGTCGCGCGAAAATCCGAACAAGGGTGTCGAGCTAGTCCGCACATGGAGACAAGACGTTATCGTAATTTCCACGACACGACGCGACTCTCTAATCCGAAGGAGTGGTGAACGATAGGAGAGAAACGGCTGTTCTCGAGATGTCGTTCAGATAATATTTCGAGCGATGATACGCGATGGCACCTAACCTTACCAATAATTTGTTGAGAAGCCGAGAAAGCAACCCTTGTACAGAAAGGCATTACTAGCTGGAGAAGAAACTGCCCTAGTAGTACATATTGTTGGGCCAATATTGGCTACAAATTTGGCCCCCAATATTGGCCAATGTAACCCCAATGTAAGTCAATATTGGTATAACAATGCTATGCAATATTGGCGATATATTATAATTTAATATCTAACCAATATTGGCTGTATATTGAGATACAATGGGCCAATGTAACCCCAATTTATGTCACCGTAGCCAATGTAACACCAATGTAACGCCAATGAAGTGTGCTAGTAGGGTGGTCAGTGATCAATTATCGTTGCTCAGTAAATTTATCATCCTTACGAGAACATATAGCGTATACAAAGTGAACAAGCGTTGCTACAACAATGTTGCGATGTTGCAGCAACGTTACAGCAATAATTGCGGTACTAAAATTACTGGCTGCGATCAGCCAGCGATGATTTATTGTTGTTCAGTAATTGTGTTACTCATGAGTACTAAAATTACTGATTTATCGCTCGTGCGAGCACCAAAAGTCATGAAATTCGCTTTATCACCGGCCAATTTATTACAGTCAGTGATACTTTTCTGCGAGGGAAGATGCAATTCTACGCGGTGATTTCGCAAACAAACGCGGCGAGCGATCAACGTGCGCAATGACGTGCGCGATGACGAAGGAAGTAATTCGAACATTCGCAGCCGTCGACTCGTCGACGCGAAGACCTCTCTTACGGTATTTCCGCGTGCGTGCTGCGTTCGCGGCTCGGCGCACGCGATTACAGCCGGTCGTAACGAGCGAGCGCGCGTCGAGCGCGACGATGTGAAGTCTCAACGGCCGGATCGGCAGGACTTTTCATTGATAATTGTCAATTTACTCGCTCGCGCTCGCGTCTCGCGTAAGCGGCACGCGAGGCGGCGCGGCGGCCGGCTCTCTCATGGGCAAGACAGCGCGGCGTGGCTGGCAACTTGCGGCGAGCGGAGTGTAGATAAACGATCGCGAAGGCCAATTCCCGAGAGAGCGCGTTTGCCACAAAGTCAACGCCGCGCCGTCGGCGCGGCGTGTCGGTGTGAGCGCTGCCTTGGTGTGATGCGCACGCCGCCATAACGTGGCGCGAGTATTTGGAACGTCCGAGCGCAATTCCGCGGCCGACGTTCCTGTCCTCCGCGCGAAAGCTCGGTCTGTCGCTTCGCTAATTTCGCTAAAGTCTCAAGGCCGTTCGCAGAGAACGCGAGCGAGTAATACAGCGTCTGATAAGACGTATCTGGTAAAATTCAAAAACGAAATTCATTGCGATGACTTGGAAGAAGAAATACACACATACTACTTGATCAGGACTGCGGTGCTTTATTATCGATAATTAGTCCAGTCGCTTTCATTATTAATAATTATATGGCATAATAATAATTATATCTTTCTACCAATTTTGTGGCATATTCTCGAGGTAAAGATCTCTGAGTCAATTGAATTTGTCGAATTAATTTCTCGACCTTCTAAATTTTCTTAAGCTTCATGGGTACTCGGACGTTTTCGATGGGATTTACTTCCGGTGTCTGTGACGGCCAATCCAGTATATCAACGCCATTTTGTTGCTTCCATGCGGCAGAGAAACGATTCCTATGTTTCCGATGTTACTGTCCTCTAGCAGTAGTCCTCTAGTAATTTTTCGTGTTTCTTTTTAAGCCACTTTTGGGCAGGTGATAATAAAGTCTTCTCATGAATTTTGACCATTTTGATAATTTCGACAGCGTTCAAGTTGCTTGTCGCTTAACGTGACATTTTTGGTCCTTTCGGATGTGTATAGAGAAACACGACTTTGAGTCGCGATGCGTATACTCATGGCACTCATAACGAAATGTGTTTTTCTATCATGAAAAACACAAACACCAATTGAAATTTTCTCTACAAAACATCTTAGAGGAAGAGTCCCTCTACCAGCTTCCGTTGGAATTTCCCATTTAACGGTTTCCACGCAAAAATTTTACCGAACACGGTCTTATCAAACATACTATGTAAAGGGTGTCCGGGATTTTTTGGAAACGAAAAATTGTGAAGATTAAACAGACTAAACTGAGGAGAAAAGTCAAGTACTATTTTACAAAAATCGCAATAATTATTAAGTTATTAATGATCAAAAATGACTACATCTAGAGGCTCTTTCAATAATTATTTGCAAAATGGTAAAGGACTCTTGTTTAGAATAACCTAATTTATAATTATATGATGGCTATTTTGCCTAGCGACAGGTTCAAGTTTCAGAGTTCAAAGTTCAATATACTCATATCTATCGCTAGACACAATAGCTGTCATATAATTGTAGGTTAAGTCATTTTGAACAAAAAATTCCTTTACCATTTTGCAAATAAATATGCAAATTTTCAAGTTATCAATGAAATGTCCATTTTCAATCATTAATAAATTAACAATTATCGCGATTTTTGCAAAATGATACTTGACTTTTCTTCTCAGTTTGATCTGATTAATCTTTACAATTTGTCGTTTCCAAAAGATCCCGGACACCTTGTATATTTGCAGCGACGGAAAGTTGACGGTGTTTTTTTTTCGATGAGTTTCACGATGTATCCGTACAATATCTTTGCTCTCGATTCTTTTTTAATTAACGAGATGATGGATTAATTAACAAGATAATGGTCCCTTTGGTAATATAAAATGTTAATAGAAAAAATTACAGAAACAGGAAAATTATTATTAAAATGATCAAGAGATGATGACATGAAAGCGAGTATTTTCTTTACGGCAAACATAAATTTATTAACAGGTGTGAAAACAGACGAGAGTAAGCGAATGTCGATGAGCGAGCCGATGCGATTCGCAGGTTTAAATTTTTCCCAAAGAGTTTAATGTAATGGAACGAAAATCGGTTCTAGGTTTTATTTCGAAAGATTTAGCGCAAACAATGTGAGCAGGAAAGGGACTGAAATACGAGAGAATTTGTTTTGACTTCTCAGCGGATAAAATTCCCTATTGGACGCGAGATAAATTTTTTTGTTGGATGCGTTCTGAAGTTCACTGACGATTAAATCATTGCAATCTTCCTTCCGCTGATTGCGTATCTTCTATCGGGATTACGCCGGAGTGAAATAACCTGTGTTCGTCGAGTGTTTACTCCAGTTAAGCTCATATCATACTGTTGGAGATTGCTAATTAAAAGTTAGCGTTCAAGAGAAAGAGACGGATTAACTAGTTTCCATCGATTGTGCTTCGCTCTTTCTCGATCAAATTCTAATTTTCGACCTGTAATCTTCGATTTTCGAGATCTCGTCTGATACAGGCTTTATTTTGCTTCGACAGCCGGTGAAAGGAAACTTGGCTCGCCGCCGCACCGGTGCGGTGGTACGCTGTGGCGTTTCGAGACACGAAAATCCCACGCAGCATCCAGGAAGTGGTGAGAGGTGGCACCGGATGCATCTCAATAAGGGGAGACGAGCGAACGAGTTCGCGTAAAACAATTCTTTCTGCGTTTCGCAGGGAGAGAGAAAGGGAGAGAGGGAGAGAGAGAGAGAGAGAGAGAGAGAGAGAGGGAGGGGAGAAGGAGAGAAAGAGAGAGAGAAAGAGATCGCCGTTTTTCGTTCATTGTCCATCGTGCAAGTGCATTTCAACGAGGTGTTTCGTTACACAGATGTGTTCAGTCGCAATAATGTGAAGGATCGCCGTTTTATCTGCTTCCCGTGATAAAGCGCATGCGCTGCATCATTCATACGGACGATAATCATCAGGTGTTTCGGTTAATTTTGAGGGTTGACGATGAACGGAGTGTTTATCACTATGAATATTAAATTCTTATTACTCTGTAATGTAATAACAATGATAATATATAATTATTACACACACACACACACATATGTATAGTCTGTATAAAAAGTATCGGGACCGCAAAAACTAAGCATTTTAGAAAAAAATGTTTCAGACAAAAGTTATACGGTTTCAAGGAAGACATAAAACCAGCTATATCATTTTGTTTATAGATGGCGCCACTTTCGAGGTGTTTACTGATCATTACTTTTCTTTTAAATGGAAACTCTAATTTTTTATTATATCATCTTTTCTACCAATTAATTTGAACAACTCTTGTCCGAAACATTTTTTTTACTTGCCTAATATTTTTTGAGATATTTAAGCAAAAACTCGGTAACTTTTCAACGTTTAACTTACGATATCTCGCTAACCATTTGTCGGAAGAAATAATAGTACTAGACTCTTTTGCTCTATTTGGTCTCAAGAATATATTGTTACAATAGTATCTTCATTTTTGTTAACTTGGAAATTTTGGACCTTTGGAAATTTCAAAATCATTATCATCAAATCGATGATCGTTCTTATTTAGAAAAATATAACATCCATGGCGCGTTGAGCAAGTCAAACGTTCGCGCGACGATGTGGTAGCTGACCAAATCGCGATCACTGACTCGATTAATGACTCCTCACAGTGATTATACAGTTTGTGTTCAATCGATTCGATGTTCATTCCGACCGATTCTGCTTATCCAAGTGAAATTTCGTTCCGTTCACTTCACCGTTCCGTTTTCCTCACTGTACGACTCTGTCGACGAAGCTTTTATTTATGTTTATACATCACACGTGTGCGCAGGTGGTTGACGGCGAGGAGAGAAACAAACATCGCTCGCCTCACGTACGAGGTTTCACTTCCTAAAGCGGCCAGATTATTTCTACAGGTTAGTAGTTAATGTTTACTCACCGGCGAGGCAAGACGCGCGACCGGAAGACGCGTGGCCGCATCTGCATCACGTGTTTACCATCGAGCGAGAGAGGAAGAGAGTGGGGGAGAGAGAGAGAGAGAGAGAGAGAGAGAGAGAGAGAGAGAGAGAGAGAGAGAGAGAGGGAGAGAGGGAGAGAGAGAGAGAGAGAATCACCTGTTTCATCGCTTCGCTATCAGAGTCGTCGGCTTTGCTGGTGTGCGTTATCTTGTTGCTCGCGTGCTAGCGAAGAAGGCAGTAACGACGGCAAAACTGCAGCAGCGATAAATCAGCTTTATCGAGCTCAAGGTGGCGGGTCGAGATCGAGGTTGAGAACGAAAGCACTGTTTTGCAAAAGCGAGAAGAGGCCTGCCATCCTTCACGATATCTCAGTGTCCACGCCGCGAGTCGAGACTGCGTGCCAGACAAACTAATAAACAGACAGACGGACAGAAGTGTGTCGAAATCGCATTCTGCACAAATACTGAAACACTGCCGATCTAACGCTCAGCGTGTCGAGTCCAAGCTCTTGGAATGTAACACCTACAAGAGCTGTATGTCCAACGTCAATACGCGATTATTTCTGTTACATTTAGTTACGCACAATAAAACTTTAAGGCGATCAAAAGAATTCGTGCGGTTTTGGTTTGAGTTCGATGCAATGAGTTGCCGAATCTTGTTGGGACTTGGCGGACAACACCAAGTGTTTATACGCATCATATACGAGCTCGTAGCACAGATTTGTGTCGATTAATTGGTTCTTGAAATGCCTGTTGAATCGAGTGTAATTTGAACACGCTTGCTTCACGAATTTAAAAATCGTGTCAAAAGCAGCAGAAGCATGTCGTAAGATATGCGTAACATTTGAGAGAGATGCGCTAAAAGAACGGACTGCACAGAAGTGGTTTGAAAAATATTCTTCTGGCGATGTATTATTTGAAGATGGATCACGTTCAGGAAAACCCTCCGTTATTAAGAAGTTATCAGTCATTTATTCATGTATTAATTATAACAATTCTTTACATATCATTCGTAATATTTTTTTGAAAATTTTTGTCCTTATTTAGTTTCTAATATAGAAAACCGCGCGAACTTTTCTAGTTACCTGATACAATAAATTACAGACTTTCCAGTTCGATTTTGGATTCCTCTGAATTTTTATTATATTTTGAATTTTTCACATTTCTTGCTTGATTTTTGCTGTTGGCAAATTAAATTTTGCTATTTGGCTCAACACGTTGACTCTTTGACGTTAGAGCATTTCGTCCTCGACGTCATTCACAGATTTTCTGTTTCTTTAATATATGAGTTAATTATATTTATTGTCTAGCGAATCTGTCAATAAAAATATTATTATTATTATATTTTATCTACATGATAATTTTATATGTTGCAATAAATTACGAAACGTTACAAACTTTCCCGTTCGGTTTTGGATTCTTCCCAATTTTTATTATATTTTGAATTTTTCACATCTCGTGCTTCATTTTTATTATATTTTACTCAACATGTTGACTTTCTCAGTGACGTTAGAAAATTTCGTTTCCAACGTCATTCACGTCAGATTTTTTGTTTTTTCAATATATGAGTCTATTATGTATATTCATTATTTAGCGATTCTACCAATAAAAAAGTATATTATTATATTTTATTGTTAATTTATTACTTTTCGCAATAGAACTGAGAATTTCTGGATACGAGATGATTCTGCCAAGTGCGAAACGTACTTGGCATTCAATGCGTTAAAATTGCCCGGAGGAAAGGGAAGACTAAAAATCGATGAACATGTTATGTTTCACGCCGTCTTTTGCCTTCTTAGAAGCGCCGAGACGCAAAGCGGGCGTGTGCTCTTCCGTCGCGATGGAATCGTTCCTTCGAAGGACGAGAGCTTCACGTGAGCATCCGACATTACGATTCGTTCGCGTTCGCGGAAAGTTCTTTATCGAAAGGACCCTCAATGCTCGCCCAGAACAATGTGTGTGGTGCACGTTGTGCGGGAATATCCTTTGTCGTCGTCGCGATTGTGCCCACTTCCGTGGGAATTCGCGGAACGGAAGTGCAATTTCTGGCTGGTACGAGTCGGTGGCCAGCTTCCAGGCCGCGAAAAAAGGGCGATCTTTAAAGAAACGATGCCAGGTGCAGAGCTGCTCGCGCCTTCTCACAAATACTCCGTGCAAGTTCGACGAAACCGTGATACTCGTGGTATCGGCCCTTCAACCCACGAACGAACACATCCCACGTACAGAGAACGACATACGTCGTACACGTCAGGATGCAGGACGACGATGCGCGACGGCATAGGTCGGCAAAGATGTAAGTATAGCTTTAATGAACGACCGAATGATCCTCTCGAGTTGCGCCTCAGCAATGTTAAACCCATTACTTCCCAAGCGGACATTTCATAGCCGATTGGTTTTTGGCTCAGAAAAGTGATAAAATCACATGAAAACTAATCACAAAATATGCTTTCCCACCTGAAAAAACCTGATGTTTCAGAATCTGGAGACGTTTGGAATTATCAACTGATAATTAAATATGACGGCTCAAAGTTGACAACAATTTTTCATCGACTATGAGCTTTTTAGCCGGTGGGGAAAAATTTCGAAAAATTTTGCCCAGAGCCGTCAGGAACAATTGAATTGACAGAGTTTGGCTACTCAAAGGATAAACAATGATTATTGATTTTATTTATCAACTGATTCAAGATGACGTCCAAATACGCGAAAATCATACTTCATTGCGATTTATATGTGTGAGTAATCATTTCTTATGTTTTCGAAGTCGCTGAATACAAATCTTAGATCCGTTTTCAATTTTGTGAAATGGCGGATGCAATATGGCGTCCGGGTGCCACGAGAATCATACTTCATTGCGAACTAAGTGTGTGGGTACTTATTTCATATGTTTTTGAAATCGCTGAGTCCATGATTCAGGTGAATGTTGAAACTTTTGACAAAATATATCTCAAAACTTATAATGTATTATGGAAGTTTTCAAAGCATTCGTTGCATATGCTTTTCTGGCAAATATTGCAAAAAATATTTGTACGTTTTCTACACTCTCCTCCTGATTTACAAATCTGTGAAGATTTCCTGGCACTCGGACGCCATATTACATCCGCCATTTTGCAAAATTGAAAACGGATCTAAGATTCGTGTTCAGTGACTTCAAAAATATAAGAAATGACTATTCACAGATATAAATCGCAATGAAGTATGATATTCACGTATTTGGACGCCATATTACATCCGCCATCTTGAATCAGTTGAAAAATAGAATCAATAATCATTGTTTATCCTTTGAGTAGCCAAACTCTGTCAATTCAATTTTCCCTGACAGCTCTGGACAAAATTTTTCGAAGTTCTCCACGGTAAAAAGCTCATAGCAGATGAAAAAATTGTTGTCAACTTTGAGCTGTCATATTTAATTATTAGTTGATAATTCCAAAATTATGAGTCCAGATTCTGAAACATCAGGTTCTTTTTACGTGGGAAAGCATATTTTGTTATTAGTTTTCATGTGATTTTATCACTTTTCTGAGCCAAAAACCCATCGACTATAAAATGTCCGTTTGGGAAGTAATAGGTTAAACAGCATAAATGTCTGAAAGACGTCTCAGCGCTTCGTTATTCTGGCGCGACAGCCGCTACTTTATTCTGGCTGCACTTATTATATCAAATTTTTTAGATACAGCGTAGACTCCGATTAGAATTGGTAGAGTCGTGGCAAAATTGCTTATCAGACTGCGATTTCAATCGGGGATCCTATTTTTGCGCATATATTCCGTTAGTTAATTTTCTGTCTAGGATCAAAACAAAGATGTATTGGTGCTTTTTTCTATTCGTAACATCGATATACAGTACGACTTTTACAATATCCAACATGGAATTCCATCCTTGTACCAACTGTAGTATTCGATAGAAAAAGAAATAGAAATGTTTAACATAAAGTGACAAACAGGAAAAATATTGGGAGAATTTTGAGTTTCCCGCTTAGTTGCGAGCGCGTTATATATAAATCTTTGGAGATGACAACTAATATAGAGGTTATGTAAAGGCAGATTTGTAAATTTTTGTACAAGAAGGACGTTCTCGTCTTTTCAGATTTTTTTCAGATTTTTCAGATTTTCTCAGATTTTTTCAGACTTTCAGATTTAGATCAGCGGGTTATCAAAATCTGAAATAGAGACAGCAGACGAAAATTTGTCCATAAAGACATCCTATTTACTTTATTTCTTTTTTAAGCGTTTCTGAAATATTAGAGACACTTAAAACAGATATCGCAATGGAGGAAAGAGATCGTAATAAATATAGGTCGAAAAATTAATATTGTCGGAGTTGTGAACAATTATTTATTTTAATTGAAGTAAGCGACTTACTCGCTTCTAACACACAGTCATGTGCGAAATACACTTCTGCTATTTCTTAATTGGAGTAATACGATATCATTCTTACCGTACTGTGAAAACTTTGTAAAGCTTTCTGTAATTGTTTACTATCTACGAGGATATGTGATTAACAATTATTTGAAGTGAAACATACGTATAAATAAGGAGAAAATAGATGTTTGTTTACATGCCGAGCGAAAAGATGTTTTTTTTTAGGAATTCCTTTAAAGCATAATATATATATTCTCTCTTCACCGATAAATAACATAGACAATAATATAGACATCAGAAAATATAAAACCACCAGGAGCGAGTAAACTACTTGCTTTAATTAAAATAAATAGCTGTTTATAACTCTGACAATATTTATTTTTTGACCCATGTTTATTAAAACTTTTCTTCGGATCAACGGATTTGTATCAAATTTGGTATACTCATATCTTTTGGGTCGCTGACCATCCGGAATCAAATTTGAGAAATTCACAACGGCAGATTTAATATAGAGGCACTTAAATACTCAATTCGATCAGTTTTTGAAGAATATTTAAGACTGATATTCCCATTCACTTGGTGTGAAATATTTATAGAGGATTTTTCGAGTCGCTGTGACGAATCCGGAGTAGAAATTTCAAAATTCAGAATGACAGATCCAATATGGCGGCTTCGAGTGATCAATTTTATTATTCTGTTATGAAGATTACATTCGATATATTCATGTTTTTTAGATTGTTGATGGTGAATTTAGTCGAATCGAAAATCGAACTCGAAAATCCAAAATAGCGGACCTAATATGGTGGTTTCTAGCGACTAACGGTGTACGGATGAAATATTGAAGGAAACTATTTCTTTGTCGATTGGCTCTGGTGAAAATCTCGGATTTATGACAATCGTTGTCTGCGACCAAAAACATATCGAGTTTGATACGTATCCATAATGGAGTATCAAAGCTAGTCACCTGAATCCGCCATATGAGATTCGCCATTTTGAATTTTGTAATTTCGACTGGATTCGTCATCAGCGAAAAACATGTGAACATATGAAATATGATCTTCTCCACAATAGAATATCAAAGTTAGCCCTTAAAAGCCGTCATATTGAATCCACCATTTTGAATTTTGTAATTTTGAACCTGCATTCGTCACTAGCGACCCAAAAAAAAACTCTCATAGGCGAGCTTCCATGTAAAATACGAAATCATTCACTTTCACCGTTTTGGCACAAAATGTTAATTTCGGATTCACTACTGAACCGCTTTTTAATTCCTTTCTTTTTAAACATCCTGTAGACATCTGTACCGCTGGGTGAAGATATTCGTGGCGTGAGAGATCACGATGTTCAGCGGAGCCGACTCGCGTATTAAGGTCACAACACAACGAACTCCACGGAATAGTGACCGCTTGCTCCGGGACAGATGTTTCATCTCGCGCGGGACTTGCGCCTAACGAGTTGCAGTAAACACACGAGTATCATAACTCCAAGCACGCGCGCCTGGAATTACTACTCTTTGTTCAAGGCAGGAAAGGCACAGCAAGGAGATGAGGCGGGGGCCGGCGGGGGAGGGGGGAGGGGTGAATGAATCTCAGAAAGAAAACACGCGCGGTCGAGATGTTCAATAAATAATGCGAAGATATTTATTTTTCACCTTATCCCTCTCTTTGTTCCACATATATATTATTAAACATATTCCTGTGTGCTCCGTATATATAAAATATCACTCGAGTACAATCGCGTGTATTGCACGTGTTCGCTTCCTTAAATACTTAAATACTGTCACGCGACGATAGAAATTGATAGAAGCGGATTCTTCGGACGCGAGATCGTCCCGATATGCGCGCGCTCGATTGTTTTCACCTAGAAATTTCGATTCTCGGCTGGACTTACGTTTATGAGAATTGAGAGGATACGACTTTGGTTCCCGCGGGACACCCCGCTCTTGACTAGAATTTGTACGGATAAATAGTCTAGTTTCTAATCGATACAGCGCCGATTTTTCATTGTTTTGGAAATCGCTAATTTATCACATCTGCTCATAGGACTCGTCATAAGTCGATCGTTCTTCGTACAAGGATCGCGAGTTCTCGCGAGGAAGCGTACGAACAATTCTCGTCACTCGTGCTCTCCCGATCTTCCGCTCTGCCTCGGGAGACGAATCGTTAATTGTCAAGTACAAAATATCAACTGCCGTTGCTGCTACAAACCTCCCTACGAACTATCTGCTATAGTAGCTGAAATAATATCACGACGGAGACTCCATGTGTGTTTGATCTATTTCTTCTTCCTTTTTCCTCGTCATCGCGTGCTGTGGCCGCCCGACCGTCATTCCTTTTCTTCCGCATCCGCTTCTTCCGCTGCCCCCTCCGGGCGTTCCTCTTGCGAATCACGTAGTCCGTTTTTTAACTGCGCGAAATCAGAGATTTCATTTCCGTCACGGTCGACCCTCACCCATTCGTAACGACCAGGCAGCGGCACTTCGTTCTCGAAATCGAAGTTCCACCTTTTCTTCGCCTGCACATCAATAAGCATTTTAACCTTGCGGCGTTTCCGCCAGTGCGCGCGCGTCACTTGTTCCGTGTAAAAAAATTACTTTGTCCGAACACAATGCACTTTTGAGCGCGGGACGCATTTAAGGCTTTACGATCGCTGAGAACGGAATACTTGGAACTTTGTCGTAAGACTATCGCCGGTGAAGATAATCTCCTGAAAAATTGTGGATCGAGACAAGTGCAATCTTATTTATCACCGTCGTTAAAATATGTAAAAAAAAAGAACGCGTACATCCGCTCGTGTGCAGGTGCAGGTAAAACCGAGGTTGGGAAGTAACTCGTTACTTGTAACGAAGTTATAGTTACAGTTATTTTTTCTTTTTTTTTTAGTTGCAGTATATCTGTTGTTATTTTTGTCTGTAACTGTAATTTAACTTTATTGCATTTGTTTTAGTTTAACTAACAACTAATTTAATAGTTACTTTACAGCTGCGCTTGTGGGAAACGCTTGTGGCAAGTTTAATTTAGAGAGAAAATGTGATTTCTCTTCTATCACACAAGAGAAAGAGAGACTGTCACTTATTAAATGCCCAATAATATGGCACATAAGTAAGTATGTAGTATAAATTAGTAATACTTGAAATGTAACATTCTCGTGCTAATATAAAACATGCTACTATAAAATAATAGCATAGTCACTGCAAGAAAGTAATTGAGAAATAACTCGTTACTGTTTGAATGACTATAACTGTAATGAGTTATTTTTCGAAATCGGTAACTCGAACTGTAATAGTTTATTTTGCAAAGTACCTTTCCTGAGTAAAATTCATTGACTTGAGCGAAAGGTCCTTTATTGTTTTGCAAATAATCACGATAATTATTGAGATGTTAATCGAAAAGAACTAGCGAATTAGCTCGAACTTATTTGCCAGTTTAAGTAATTAATATATCGGTCATTATTATGGTTGCAAAATGGCAAAGGACTTTTTTTCAACCTGATTAATTCTACCCATACATGAGCGGATGTATATATACAGGGTGTCCGGAGTCTTTTGGAAACGAAAAATTGTGATTAATCAGACCAAACTGAGAATAAAAGTCAGTACCATTTTGCAAAGCTTGCAATAGTTATTAAGTTATTAATGATTGAAAATAATCACATATCTAGAGGCTCTTTTAATTGATAACTTGAAAGTTTATATACTTATTTGCAAAATGGTAAAGGACTTTTTGTTCAGAATAACCTAACTTAATAATACGACGGATATTATGTGCCGTGCGACAGGTTCAAGATTGAGAGTTCAAAGTTTAATATACTCATATCTATCGTTAAACACAATAGTCGTCATATAATTGTAGGTTAGGTCATTCTGAAACAAAAAAGTCCCTTACTATTTTGCAAAAAAATATGCAAATTTTCAAGTTATCAATTAAAAGAGCCTGTAGCTGTGGTTATTAATACTTTAATAACTGTTGTAATTTTTGCAAAATGGTGCATGATATTTCTTCTCATGTCAATTTGATCTAATGAATCTTCATAATTTTTCGTTTCCAAAAGATCCCGGGCACCCTGTATATACATGTGTCCATGACACTCAAAATACCAAATCGAGACGAAGGATCGTTTTAATTCGGTACGCGGCCTTGGCTCCGTTCAGATTTAATGGCACGTGTCAACGAAAGTGAAGAAAAAAGAAAGAAGTTTGTTTTTATTTCTCACATTCTCTCGATTCCGTCGAGCTTCCTCGAACAGACGATTGGCAAGGTTATCGTTCTCGCCATTGCTCGTTTGCCCGTCGCCGCTCTCACTGTTTGTCGATTGTCCGCTGTCATCATCCTCGTCGTCCTGGAAAAGTCTCCTGCGCAGGTTTCGACGTATAACCTCTTCCTGCTGGTCGACGTTCCTTTCTTCCATCGTCAGGCGAGCCCTTTTCGAGGAAGTAAATCTCTTTAGCGGCTAATTACAACAAAACTTTGTAGACATATTTTCGCATATTCTTTTATATTTGTCAAAGTAATTTATTAGATTGACTTTTCGTTACGCAATCCCGGATCTCTGGAGGACGCGTTAGACCCGCATTGATAGCCGTTATTTAAAACTTGTTTAACGCATTTAACGTGTTTAACTTGCTTAACGTGTGAAATACTCAGAGTTCAGTTTAGAGCGAAACGTGAGCTTTTCAGTTGAATCGCGATTACAAATATAATGCTGTCACGTATGTATCGTATAATTCCGAGAAAAGACTTGAATCCAGCTCTAAATTTGGACCTGAGTGTCTCACAAGAGACAGGTTTCAAGTAACGATTATGAGTGCATCCTTTAGGCGCAGAGTACTTCAGAGCCGGATAATCGCTGAGAACCTGTCTGAGAAGAATGCTTTGAGATGTCGGCGTCGTAAGTCATTTGGTAGAGAGAGAAGTAAATTTTTGAAAATTCGCAGCGCGATCAATCCAGAGGGACAAACGAACTCTTACTTATCATCGTCTCCAAAATACGCAGAAGGATATAAATATAAATGCTACATTGCAACAGTTGATAACTCCTGCTGAGAGTGTGCAGTCTAAAGAAATTCATTGAAAATGTTAATTCCGGTCTTCAAGACGCTTGAAAACGTTCCGCTTGTTTTACAAGACATTTCAAAAACTCTAAGAAGACTTCTAAAGACTTCTAAGACTAAGACGTCCAAGGAAGACTTCTTTCTTTTTTAAACATCTTTCGGACGTCTTGAGAACACTTAACCCATTAATGCCGACTGGGACAGAAATTTCGCATTGATTTCAATGTTATGAATTTTTATGAAAATGCTCGAAAATTTTAATCCAAAGTACATTACTAGGGGTACTTTTCGAGGTCGCTCTTTCTGAATCCGCTGCGAGAATCATACAAAAATGAGTGTTTGTATTGATTTGTAACGGTCTTTTTCCAAAAAAAGCGATTTTTCTCGTCAATTTTTTTTTAAATCATGGATTTCATCTTGATAAAAATGTTGAATATTACTGAAAAGTACTCCAATCGTGTCCTCGGGACTTGTATTTAAAATATATGTGGTTCTGAAATTTGTTGCAATTTAGTAATTTCAATATGGCGACCATATATGTGTATCACCATAGATATCGCCGGATTCTTGGGAACTCAGTCGAATAATTCGTTATGAGTGCATTTTTATGAAAAATTATCCAAAGTAAAAGTTGTCCTGTTAATCGAGTTTTTTCACGTGGTAGGCCTCAAATTTGGATCTGATGTATTTTTTGGGCCTAACGGGGCCCAACGTTGATTTTTTGTTGCAAAATTTATATTTTTTATAACAGATTTGAAAAGTACAGAAAATTTTACGTCCAGATGTATGATATATTTTTGAAATTACAAGTCTCGAGGACACGATTGGTCACAAGGACACACTTTTCAGTAATATCCAACATTTTTATCAAGATGAAATTCATGATTTAAAAAAAAATTGACGAGAAAAAATCGCATTTTTTGAAAAACAAAAACCGTTACAAATCAATACAAACACTCATATTTTTATGATTCTCGCAGCGAATTCGGAAAGAGCGACCTCGAAAATCCCTAGTAATACTTTGGATTAAAATTTTCGAACATTTTCATAAAAATTTTCATAAAAGTTCATAACATTGAAATCAACGCGAAATTTCTGTCCCAGCCGGCATTAATGGGTTAAAAATGTCCTCCTTTTTTCAGACATTTTCACGACGCCTTAAGAGTTTATAGTGTCCTCGGTATTTCCGCGCAAAGCCAGCGAAGTAGCGGAGGAGTTCTTTACGGAATAACAGTACTCGGTATTAGTCGTCGAGGCGACGCGGGGCCGAGTTAGAAGCATAACACTTCGCGTTTTGTAAACAAAGTGGTACACATCGAGCGAAGAAGCGAGGTCTCTGCGTTCGACAAGGCTCTCTATGCATGCGAGCGACAGGAGAGAGGGAGAGAGAAAGAGAGAGAGGGAAAGAGAAAGGCAGAAGAGAAACCCGTAATATTATCGGTTGACGTGTCGTCGGGCGGGTGTATTGGAATGCATCTCACTTCCGGCATACGCCATTACGGACGCATACCGACGAATGTAATGTTTATTACTTACTTTCGCATGTGGAACTCTCGGAAGTCCTTGCTTTCGCACGATCAACATTTCCTGTGATGCGAACTCGATGCACGCGTTACAGTTAGTGTCATCGATACAAAACGGGTGTTTCTAAGTTCCACATACTATCCGAGTATCCAGAGACGAGAAATTTCTTCAGCAATTATGCAGAGGATAGAGACCTCCCGATTTCGAATGATGTTGAGATATGTTACCAGGGTCATTACTTTGAGTAATGTTGTGGAGGCCGAAAGTTGTTTTAGCCCGCGCTCATTATTTATAACGAAGTTATTGACAAAAGAAATGCAATGAATAATATGTAATTTTCTAATACCGTGTATAAATATGATGCTTGTTATAGTATTTGTTGAATAAAGAAGCCGAGTCATTTCTGTTTACCTTCCTCTATGTTGGTATTTCTTGCGACTTTCGGAAATCGGTGTTCTAAGGAAGAATATGATCAGGGCAGACGCTTCGGCCTTCCCCCTGTACCCCTTTTCCACTCTAAACTAATCCAATCTAACACAACCTCTGCTTCTAGTGATTCTATAATATTTCTTCGTACAATTTAACATATAAGTATTTATACGAAGAAATATTATTACTAGAAGTTACTAGAAGCAGAAATTGGATTAGATTGGGTTAGTTTTTGAGCGGGGAGGTGGTGCAGAGGGAGGAGCTCCGTTCATATATATATTGCTTACTATATTATAACGTACATTGTGTCGAAGAATTACATTTAGTTTAGAACAGTCCTTTTATTAATAACTTTGTAGTAAACAATAAGCGCGGGCTAAAACATTCACAACATTGTTCAAGATAATGACTTTGATAACATACCTCAGTATCATGGAAATCAGGATAGGTGGTACCTATCTCTCCATAATTATTACTTCTTCTTCAATAGTGTCGTTTATTTTTATATAAACATACTCTTCCCCCCCGCCAATCCGCGTGTAAAAGTATCAAGACGAGGTCAACGAAAGATGAATAACGGCGAGAGCAATAATAACACAGTTCGGCAAAGGATGACTTTTTTTCAGACACCAGAATGAAGTTAGTAATTTCTTGTAGTTTTTTGGATGCTGAATACGAATCCGGTTTTTAAATTGCCGCATCACATCAAAATATTGAGAAATTTACAATTAAAATTGCGGTTAAGGTTATTTCTCCACAACTATAAAATGTGACGTGCCGAAGAAGTTTTATCGCAACTTACTTTCATGCCTAGAATAATTTAGAGAATAAATAAAAAAAAAAATAACAAGAATAAATGAATAATAAATATAAGAACATATGATAAAAACAAATAACTGGGTAATTTGACGGGTAATTTGAGAGATACACTCGAGTAGTCGGACAATGCTCGGGAAATTCGAACACCCGGTATTCAAGTAGTATCTGACTCAAGTAGCACCCACAACAAGTGCTCTGATGCCCCAAATTGACACAACTAATTACAATATTTCGCGCATTATCTGGTAACTCATGCGCAAAGCAGATAATCTGTTTGTAATATTTTCCCCCTTTTTTCGTGAAAACGGCAGTATCATCTGCGACGTTGTTCTCGCGATATCGCGTACAAATAATAGCGTTTCAAGCCGAGATTCTCGCAGTCTTATTCCTTCGTACCTCCACCTATGCGCAACGCTTACAATCTATCAAACAGGTAGTACAGGTTTACACGCCTTTCCCTGACCCACTTACAACGTTCAACTAACCCGGACAAATATCCGCTTGTACGTACGCTTTTTAACGCGTTCTCGGATATAACGTAGCTATTAGCAGCGACATTACGCTTCTTCCGGTCGCAGGTGATACCGATAGACCTCGGATCGATCAAGGAATTCGTGAGTGAAGAGGGACGGGCAAAATATCTCATCCACGCGATCGGTATCGCGGCCAACGTTTCCCAAGTGTGATATCAGCGCGGCCTTCGCCAATTCCATCTTCCACGTGTTTTCGCCACATACTCCTATCTCGAGGTTGAAGTTACGTCCGGAATGTCGTACTTCAGACGACGTAAATACTTCGTAGACCTTCATAGACCGTAGGCTTTAGACCTTCACGGTGCGGAGAAATATTCGCTTCGATTCCCGAGCCGTATAAATATGATTTCAGGCGAAAATATCTGACGGGCGTTGTTTGGGCTCCGAGTAAAATGCTCAGATATCAATGGAGAGTTAGATGCGAGTTCTTCAGTTTTCAATCGCGATCACAAGCATAAGTGTCATATACAGGGTGACATGACTGAAAAAGGTGGTCAAACATCGGTACCGCATTCTATTCTTCTTAAGGACGAGAAAAAGTACACACAGATCCGGAAATTCTTCCTTTTCGAGAAATAAACACTTTTTTGTTTCTGATTGAATATTGTAAGAATGTTTGAAGCTTAGTTAACACGCTGCTAACCAATTAATTAACATGCTGTTAATCAATCTCAGCACCAGTAGCAGTTTTCATGCAACGTGTGCATTGGAATTATTGGAGTCTCACTTATTGGACCAGTTTTTCTTCCATTTACGCTCAACGGTAAAAATTATACATAATCTTTGAACTTATACGCTAAAAGAAATTATATACGGGAAAGTGAACTTTCTACACTATTACAAGATATGTCACTGGCAACGTGCACTCGAATGTGGTTTATGCTCCGATGGAGCTCCGGCCCATTTTAATCGAACCGCTAGAGAATATCTTAATAGCAATTACATCATCGGTGGATCAGCAGAGGAGGACCGATTGCATGGCCTGCACGCTCCCCTGACGTAACTTTAGATTTTTATTTATGAGGACATCTTAAAAGTTTAGTTTATGATAATAACACTACTGATAGTCTGGAAACACTAAAAACTCGGATTACAGCCGCATGTAATGTACAACATTCGGAATACACCAGGAATTTTGGAACGTCTTCGAACGTTCTTCTCTGCAATGTCGATATGAAGCGTGTATTGTTGCCATGAAACCATTTTCAGTAATTTCTTGAAGTAAGCTTTAAACATTCCTACAATACTCAATCAGAAACAAAAAAGTGTTTATATCTCGGAAAGGAAGAGTTTTCAGACTATGTTTATACTAGTATAACCTTTTCTCATCCTTAGGAAGAGTCCTTAGGAATACGATACTGAAATTCGGTCATCTTCTTCGACGTTACTCTGTATATCGTATTACTCAGCCGAGAAACCCAGATCTAACTCCAAATCCAGGTCTGAATATTTTACGTGAGCCAAATGTCAATCCATAGTCATAAATATGACTCTGATAGACATCTTAGAGACGTCTAAAAGACACCCTGCTTATCTCCCTTTAAACGTTCCCAAGACGTGTTTTAGACATTCGCGCAATTTGGAGGCCGTCGAAGGAAATTGCATCTACAACGCTATTCACACCGACGCGATTCGGAAAGACGTATCAAGACATCCAAGGACACCCCACTAGTCTTGAACGTTCTTTAAATGTCCGCATTTTAGGCAATCGCGCTGTCTTGCGAGCTCGTCGCCGAAAATCTCATTGACAAAATGAACATCGTCCCACGACGGGACGATTCAGCAGACGCAGACGTACGCAGACATATGTGTCAAACCGATAAGCCGGATTCCCCGAGTTTAACCCGTTCATACGGTCATCCACTTACTCTCCCGGGGTGTCCCTCATTCCGTCTGCCGCGAATGTTGTCGAACGACGATAAGGCATCGACTTTATCTGTTGCTAATTACACAGGCGAGCGCACTCGATCCGAATCGCACTTTTCTCGCCACTCCGCGGTTCGCACGCGCTCATTTATCTCGTCTTGGCACGCGCGCGTCTCTTTAACGCGTCCGTTCGGCGTCCTCGTTCGAACGACCTGCGGTGCCGTGTTGTTGCTGCTCGATGTGCGCGGCTGCACCCGATCGATAAGCGCCGTTTGGGGGTGGCGACCCGTGATCGCCCGAGCCTGCCGGGGGTGACTTCGCGTGCGCGCGCATTGGGGGTGCGTGTGTTCGTTAGTTCGTCGTTCTCATTGATAGGATTTTGACAGGAGCGCCACAACGGGAACATTGCGACCACCCCGTCCGAGAAATTTGCGTAAGAAATAGGAACAATTCGTTTCTTAACCCCTTAACGCCCGACTTTCTTATAAGTGTTTTAAGAATAAAATTTGAGTTTTTTTGAACTGAGACTATAAGTAGTGATAACAAAAAAAAAATATCAGAATTTTATATTGGGTCTTTTTATTGTTTGTTTTTTGTCTATTGGTAAATATGACTTGGATCCTAAAAGCATATACGAAATGAGCAACCTATACAGAGAAAAATGAAGAGTAATCTGTACTATCATAACTCTGATAGTCAGCTTGACATTTTTGAGCTGAAACTTTACTATATTTGTGAGTGATCACTCACTATATATTAGATAGTAGATTTGTGAGTATCATTCAGAGTGTCAAGCTTACTATTTCAGAAGAATATCTTATGGATCACCATTTAGATAGTCAATCGCCTCTTCATTTTTCGCCGCATAAAAAACTGTAGGTCACCAGGTTTCATGAAAATAGGTTGATTTCTTGATTTTCGTGTCCACCATATCGGATTCGCCATTTTTAATTTCTGTATTCTTTTAATTTCACATTTTGTATCTGAGAAAGCTTCCAAATGTATAAAATTATAACAGATACCAATCTATTCATTTGTAGTGCACTTCTAAATCAGTCAGTAACAATGCTAACTATGTCTACTTGGAATTTAACAAAACATGTTATCATTAAAATTGAGCTAAAAACAGACTAAACCGAATCTACATACAATCTATATACCATTTTTTAGAAGAAGAATTCATCTTTACAGTGGCGCGAAGAAAACGAAAATATCTCCTTTTTTGACCAAGTTACGGATTCTTAAATGCGTTTCTAGTAACTACAGTTACCAGTAGGCGTTAAAGGGTTATAAAGCAGGTATAAAAGCGTGTATAAGTAGCGTCCTGTACTTAGGTGATTTAAAAATTAACTAGAAGAAAATAAGATGGAATTTGTAAATTCTTCGTGACACTCTTTTCTCTTTTATTGTAAAATCCCAATACAATCTCAGTCTCGATGCCGTGTGATACGTACAATTGTTGATGCAAACGTCTACGATGTAAAGACAAATATTTCAATATTTTACACATTCGCAGTAATGTAGACTAAATTATCTATGGCCGTCACATCTTAAGTAATTTTATAAAAATAATATTTCTCTCAATTAAAGATGCGGATGAAAATATATATTTATAATATCTAGATAAAAATATAAATTGGTGTCAAAACTTTATCTGGATAGGACAGGATCTCGACAGGAGCGCTACAACAGGAACATTGCGATCGCTCTGTCCGAGAAATTCGCGTAAGAAATAAGAACAATTCGTTTCTTAAAACAGGGACGTATATAAACAGTGTCCCGAACCGAGGTGATTTAAAAATTAGCTAGAGGAAGATAAGATGGAATTTGTAAATTCTTCTTGACACCTATTTTTCTTATTGTAAAATCCCAATACAATTTTAGTCTCAATGCTGAGTGATGTGCAATGTTAACGCGAACGTCTACGATGTATGAGTAAAAACAATATTTCAATATCTTACACATTCGCAGTAATGTAGACTAAATTATCTGTGGACGTCACATCTTAAATAATTTCTTAAAAATAATATTTTTCTCAATTGAAGATGCGGTTGAAAATATATATTTATAATATCTAGGTAAAAATATAAATTGGTGTTAGAACTTTATCCGAATAATCATCTGTATCATTTTATTTTAATAGGAGCAATTTGAACTGAGATACCGAGAGTGTATCAATGGCTATTTATTTAATGGCAGAAGAATCGTCGGCTGTTCGGTTAATATATAATACCAATTGTTTCAATCAACCGTTTAATGTACAGGATAAAAATAATATAACTTCTTACGAAATTACCTTGACAGTTATGAATGTGAGTTTTTATTCTGTCAATTTTATCCTTTTTTCTCTCCCGCTCCAAGCAAAGCAGAAAATTATAGTGACGTCAAAATAAGGAGAAAATAACTATAAAATCCACTTTTCAACATGATTCGATCATTTTCTCACGATTACCTCGATATTATTTTGATATATACATATATTATACACACACACACACACACACATATATATATATATATATATCAATAAGATTCGCGATATTTGAATATTTTTTATAAACATTTATCAAGTGACAGAAACATCTTTTATTATCTTTAGTTTATATATAGGGTGTCCCGTAAATCAAGGCCAATCAGGAGATGAATGAGGACCCAAAAACAAGAAAGTCGATACGAACATAAGTCCGGAAATGCGTTGTTCTCGAGTTCTTACCATTTTTACGTTGAAATTTGAAATTGCTTCGCTTTTGAATTTTTTTGTCAAAATTGAAACAGGAGATGATTTTTATGAATTTTATAACATAATTAAAGTCAAATAAAAGTTGCGGGCTGTTTTAGCACTATCCAGCACTACCAAGGTACAACCCGCTTAGCATCCCTTGGCAGAGATCAGGACCCAACAGTTCGTCGCTCCTATGGTATTTAGTAGCGGGCTGCATCTTAGTAGTGCTAGATAGTGCTAAAGCAGCTCGCAACTTTTATTTGATTTTAAATTATGTTATAAAACTCATAAAAACCGTCTTCTGTTTCAATTTTAACAAAAAAATTCGAAAGCAAAACAACTTCAAATTTCAACGTAAGAATGGCTATAACTCGAGAACAACGCATTTCCGGACCTATGTTCATATCAACTTTCTTTCTTCTTTTTCCTCATTCATCTTCTGAGCGATTGATCTCGATTTACGGGACACCCTGTATAAATAAAATTGCCGAATATTCTGTATCGAAAGATATTTTATTTCCCTTGCGTTCTATGTACGTTTAAAAATGGCAACTGATTAGTTTTAGTAGCTTCTTACGGAGCACCGTGTACATCGGCTCGTTTGCTAGGAATGTCATATTTCACGAACCACTTGTGTGATTTTGCCGGAATTCATAAAGATACTTTATTGTCAACGAGCGCTCATAGATCGCTCATTTACGACTCCTTAACTGATTAATAAATAGAAATAGAAATATAAATTACACTGGAAGCTTCGGTTTTTCGAAACTTCTCCTACTTCGAGACATTATATCTAGGAAACAAAATTTCAAAGTGAACATTCGTACGTTCGATTAATCGAAATCAGTTCTATTGAAAGCTTCGATATCTCGAATTTTCGAACAAAATTTGAATTAATCGTAAATAATACGAACTAATTTTAAATAACTGTGAACTATTTGTAAGTAACAGAAGTCGAATTATTCGGAGGTTCGAGCTTCGACTTTAAGCATCGAATTATTTGGAGAAACTTCGAAGCTTTGACCACGTCAAGTGATATTATTTCCGGTTAATATACACACCATCGTTCACACGCAAAATAATCGCAAAATAAAGATTTCGTATAATCCAGAAATAAAATTACCAGTTGGCACGCGTGTCGAGTGGTCGTGTCAGTGAACAAAGCTGTAACCCGCACTGTTCGCGTACTCGAACTATACAGCGTTGAAGATCGTCCTCATGCGACGGAGGAGGCGTCGAATGTTCCGGAAAGATCGGCGCGAACACGCCGGAACGTCCAAGACAATGAAACTCGCGGCAGAGACTCGCTGTCGGGAGACTGTCAGACTGCAACTAGCCCCATAGCGAGAGACTAGTCATTTGCTGCATCTCGATTGCAGCTGACTAGCCTAGATTCGCCTTAGGAACGACATTGCGAGAGACGCATGCGCGCGAAACGAGCCGTTAACCGCGCCGTTTCATCGGCCGGACGTTCATCTCTCGCGCGGCGCGGCGCGGCGCGGCGCAGCGCGGCGCGGCGCGACGCGAGAATTCTACAGCGGTCGGCGAACGATTATCCTTCCGTGAAAGTACGTCATCGCGCGTTCCACGAGCATTATTACGATCCTTCGGAAACACGCGGGGTAATGGGCGGACGAGAGCCAGAGCGAGAGCCTCGCTTCGTCGAGTCGCTTCAGTCGTGCGTGTTTCGCTCCGCGCCAGATTAATGTCTCCTTTCGCGAGACCGTTCGCCGGGAATGGAACGTAATTAGCGATGAGCGCGCGATGCTGTCAACGATAGCGCTCCGATTAACATTGCGCGCGATTGTTATTAATAGCGACATTCGCGAGACCAAGGATGCAGTTTACCGAGCAACGTGCTGAAAAAAAAGAGGAGAAAAAAATAAATGTTGGCAATCGGGCCAGAGTCGAAGGAATTCCACTTCAGGGTTGTACATTTGACTGGAGAACACTTTTGACACTATGAAGAAAAGAGACGCTTGTTTTTTAAAGTATCACTGATGAGCTTGTGAGTTATTGGTTATTATAAAAGCCCGAGTGACGACGTTGTCTGACGTCACACTGCGATATGGAGCATTCAGAGAAATGTAAATATTTTTTATTCACTATCTGAGTGCATACCATCACTTCAGCTCCCGTCATCGTTGATTAATACATATTGATTAATACCCTTATTATTGTCAAGTATAGTGGTTCTCAATTTCGATTTCGGGTGCTTCGTATTTCATTGTATCTGAACCGTTTTGTAACTGATGATCTGTTCTTTGTAGCTGCACTGCTGAACTGGTGCAATAAGCTAGAGTGAGAAAACCTATATTTGTCTCACTTTAACTTATTGCACCAGTTCAACAGTGCAGCTACAAAGAACAGACCATGACTGTACTCTCGCATATACTTTACTATCGCGATATATCGATAGTTTTCAGCCGTTTTCGATTTTAGGAACGCATTTCTCGTGGCAGCCGATCAATTCAGAAAGCGGGAACGTGTTCAAAGCAGAGTTTGATTACTAAACGTTTCATGTGCGT